TACCCAAAACTTGCTATCTTGCTGCATGTGGAACTCGCTCTAAAGTCTACCTGAGGATGCCCTTCTGACTATCTTTGAAGCAAGGCCATGGGATTCAAGCCTCAGGGTTCCAATTGAGCTGGTCTGGGCCTCACTGTGCAAGCTCTTCAATTTCAGGTATAGGCATTCCAGATTTTTTCAATCTAGCACTGCCGCCACAGACTGAATGCCTGAAGCTTAAACTGCTTAAACCCTCTAGTTTCAGCCCAGGGCCCTCATGTTCTTAAGCTGCAATGTCTTCCCTTGCACCGCCTCAGGCACCAGCGTGAAGCGTGTAAATGTAGAGCCAGGAACTTCTTCAACTGCAAACTGCAGATGCTGTGGAGACCTTCAGTGACTGATTGAGGGGCTCTCACAAAGCCCGAAACCCTAAAACCAGAGCCCTATAACCTGAGCCCGCCCTAGGCCTAGTCATGGTCAACTCCCCCCAAAGCCCGGGCATAAACCTTTGGGGCATGGGATTCATTAAGACCTGGGCTGGGAGGAGTGAGGATTTGGGTTTTGCTCATCACAGATGTAGCCTCTCTCACCTACCATACAGCCCTGCCACCGTTTGTTGCTAGTCCTGTCCAGTGGCATGCGTGACCAAAAATTTCAATGTGGTTTGTGGCCATTTTTGTGGTGCTACTCTGCTACTTTTTGGGGAGCCCCGAAGCCTGAAGCAGTGTCGAGGAAGGCAGCCAGCGAGTCTTTTAGGAATTTTAGGTCTTTCAGTGTTTTTGTTACATACCCCACAACATATCAGCCCTACCTCTGTCTGCACGAGTACCTCAAAGCTCAAGACAAAGATATGCCAGCGTCTCAACACAGGCACACAGACTCATGAAGTATGCAGTGTTTATGTTCAGGCGTGGCGGGCAGGTGATTGTTTTGTTTTGCACAAGGGTCACAGTTGTAATTCTTCTGGCAACAAAACTGTCATTAGCCAGAGGCTCCATTCACACATGGACGCATGTTGTCCCGGTCGTGCCATATTTCCTTTACACACACCTGCAAGTTCAGGGCAGATCCTTTGCCAGATACACCCCCCCCAATTCTTCCACAGAGGCCGTTTCATGTCACAGCAGCCCCTCCTAGACGTGCAGAAATTCAGCACGAATCAGCCCCAAACCCTCATCCATGCAAACCCCAAGCCCCAAGCCGGGAACCGTGAACCCTATACAAGGTCCTACAGCCCAAACTCCAAAGACAAACAATGCACCCAACAACCCTGCTGCCAGGTGGCACTCCGTCCGGAGACAGGGTGTCGTGCACTCAGGTTGGGTTCAGCCTGGCATACCGACTGGCAGGGGCACTTCAAAGTCAAGGGTTTAGGGTCTTGGGTTTGGACTTTCGTTGTAGGGTGTGGAATTAAGGGGCACTGTGTTGAAGGTTTAGCTTGTGTGTGTGGGCGGTCGCTGCTTGTGGCTGCCAAGTTGATTAGGCTTCTGTACACAACTCACGAGAACATTCACCAACTCGACTTTCCACTTGCGAGTGCTTCTACTACCTGTCCTAGCTGCATTTCCAGCTTTCTTGGCACTTCTGAAGGTATTTATTGACATGCCTCAAGATTCTCAGCGACTAAGTTATTGACCATGTTTGCCCACGTAACATCCTGCCCTTATTTCCCATTGCTCCTGGCTGCACTGTGGAATTCAGTGAAACGAAGCCATGGAGCTTTATTGCACAGAGCAAGGTCCACAGGTGCCTTTTTGTGATTTTTGTGAAAGGAAGCTCGACAATGCCTGTGTTTCTCGGCTCGTAGTGCTTATCTTTAACATGGCTTCTAAAGGTGCTCACATGCAAATCGCTTAGACTCAGACCCAAACAAGACTAGAGCTACCAGGATGTTTCTCATCAGCCTATAGTGAATTTGTTTCACCGGCCATCCTAACTCTGAGGTACTTAGGACTTAGGAGAGACCCACACGAGAAACCGAAGCAAACCAAGACGCTGCAGCAGTTCGCCGCAGAAGTCTTTGGCAAGCACCGTGCAGTCTTCAGTAGTGCTAAGTACCAGTACCGCACGATGTCTCCATACTCTAGGCCCGGCCTTCCATTGCACTGGGAACTAAACCCGATTAAACCCCTGTCAGTCAGAGAAGGCCTGCTACCTAGGACCTAGGGCCCAGGGCCTAGGGACCTAGGTATTTCTTGGCGCTCAGCATTTCTAGTGTGCATCCATCTGAAACCATTCATTTCTTGCAGCTGCATGGTCATGAGCATTAACTGTAACTTGTCTAACAGGTCCTTCTGCACGGCTTCCGCTGGATACAGACGCACGGTGCTTTTCTCAGAGGGTAGAGGGCAGATGCTTAACTTGACAGGCTTTTGCCATGCCAAACAGCAGGCATGCCATCAGTGTAAGCACACCCTTCCAACTAAGTCTTTTCTAGGTTTTGCAGGAGACCCAGGAAACCCAGCCATGGGAAGTTAGGGTGAAGGTTAATCAGAAGTAGCAGTTGGCGTGTGCCATGTGCCTTGACTTGACAATAGCCACATAAACATGAGCCTGCAGTAGAGATGTTTTGCAGAGTATGGTGCGGCACTAGCCTTGTTATTCTTTGAAAAGTCTCCCGCCACGTGCATCCAGGTCCAAACGGCAAGGCCATCGTTCCGAAATAGACAAATGCATGGCAGCCTTGCCAATCTAAAACATAGGGGCATAGGGACCTTTCCGGCGGTATAATGTTAATCTGTTAGTTCATCATCATGCAGAGTGAACACATCTAGGTGCTCTGACGCATTGATCAACAGTAAACAGTCCGCCATAGTAGCTCAGGCAGTCGTTACACAGATAAAGTGACATAAAGCACAGTGTCTTGCAGCTAAGTTTCTGTTGGAGCCTGGCAGGCCATACAAAAGTTGTGGACAGCCACTGGTTTTAGCCATGCCGCCCAGTGATGTGTGTGGCCAAGCACTGCAATCATGGCTGTTACATGGGGATGATCGCTGCGTGGATTCTCTGATGAACGTGCCACGTGAGGTGAAATTTCGTGTTGTGCAGCTGGCTTTGCGGTCCATTGAGCGTGAAGAGCCCAGTGCTGGTTCACAGAGTTTATTCACACCTGCTGCAGAACACTTGGACTCGGCTGGGCCAGCGACATCAGCGACGCCAACAAGTTCGAAGGAAACACTTGTGGGCAAGAAAAAACGGAAGTCGCTGGAAGGCAGTAAGGGGGAACAGACGCCTCCTCAAACAACTGGGAAACATTCCGAGCAAGCCTTGGAACCGCCGAAAAAGCGCAAGTCCTTAGACGGTGAAAAAAAAGATGAGTCGTTCGAATTTCCTTCTGTGACTGAGATGCTGGCAGATGCTTGCGTCAAGCCAAAGGTGATTCTCTATCGTGCGCGCCAGAAATTGCCAAAGATGCAGAGGGAGTCCTCAACCAGCGATTACAATGATTTCTTGCAGACTCTGCACCTTCTAGAACATGCCGAACGGCTCAGGCCGAGCCAGTTGCCAAACCAGCCAGAGAGTGATGTTGCAGAGTCGCTGAAAGCAATAGATTCAATAGAGGGCCAGCAGCTGCCGCATCCTTTTTGCAAAGCTTTGGTGAGGCGGCAGGCAAAGATCGATGTGGATGACCGTTTAGAGCAACTATTCTGGACAATTTGGCCTCGCAACATCAAGGCCGGTGATACAGAAGGTGAGATCTTTGACCCTTTTCGCCCCAGGGCTTGTCTGATTCCTGACGTTGATTTGCAGTCCTTCTGCGCGGATGTGCTTGGTGGGGATGTGTTGGGAGCACTCCTGAAGAAAGAGGATGCTTCAAGGATATTGGCTGTCGCTCAAAGCATGCCCACCCTGCAAGCAGACGACAGCAGCAGCCTTGTGCAGGCATGTGCTGCAGTTCAGGCCTTGGCGGCATGTTTTCAGCCATCGCCAGTCACGGCGATCCAGATAAAAGCATGGCAGGATTCAAAGAACATTTTCATGCTGCAGATCAAAAACACCCGCACGGACTTCTGGGCCAGAGTTCAAGATGCTTTCTTCAAATCAGCCCCTGAAGAAATCTTGGCCCAGCCGCTCTTGTGCCAGTTGGTGGCAGACTTCAACAATGACAAGACCGAAGCCTGGGTTCTTGCAGAGCAGCGACTGCCGGAGTGGCACCGGGACTTGCGTGCGACCTGCTTGGTTCAGCTGCGGGACGCAATGGTCTCGGCATTGCAACGGGAGCTTGAGCTGGTGCTTCTGGACATGAAGCAGTCGGCCGAGGGGGCTGCCGAGAAGGTTGGTTACTTCTCAAATTGCACTAACGGTCACTATAACGGTCACTAACGTCACTAACGTTCACGCCTCAATTAAGGCTTTAAAAGATCAAATCCAGTCTGAAAAACAGACCGAGTCAGTACCTGAATAAGTAAGTAATTGTACCGCTTAACCTAACCTAAGTCCTAAGCCTATGTGTTGTAATTAATTACACTTTAAAATAAAACAGTAGACTCAGTAGATTGCAGACATGCCTTTCCACTGCTTCCAGCCTTGTTTGCCTTATCCCTGAAGCCCTTTTTTTCACAGTAATGCAGATGCGAGACTGCTACATTGCTACATTTTACATACCTGCTCTTATGTTACATTCAAGAAATGTCGCCGTGTCTTCCTATTGTTTGTGATCTTTGAAACGAAAGATGCAAAAAACTCGCAAAGCAACCTGCCTGATGAACCCGTGCTTAGTGACCCCTCAGGTGCAGATGTTTTTACAGCACGAAGTCATCGTGCAGAGCAAACTGGGGGACTCCAGCAATTCTGCTTCTGAGCTTCGAGCCGAGCTGGCATCGCTGTTGGACGCAGACAAGCAAAAGAGCTTCATTGCAGCAGCTGCATCATGGCTGGAGCAAGAGCCGAGCATTTTGAGCAATGCACAGGCAGCAGAGGCCTTGGCTCTGGTGAAAGCTACTACTACGCTGGATATGTCTGCCTACAACGACTACATCTTAGCTTGGCTGGAGCATTTGGAGTCTTGCGCAGAGCTGCATATGGAGCATTGCGAGCTTGGTATTGTCTTGGCACAGCTTGCTGCACGCCCGCTACTTCATTGGGAGACGACGCTCTTGGCTGCTCAGCTCGAGAGGGCGCTGGCTGCAAAACCGGACATTCCTGCAATTCAGCGGCTCCTGCTCGATTTTGAGAAGGCAGATGCTGTGCCTCATGGCAGACAGAGATGCCAGGCTTCTGTGGATGCAGCAAAGGCTTTGCTGCAAAAGCACCAGGAGGACCAGGTCCAGGACACCAAAAATGGATTGTCACAAGCTTTGAAAGCTTTGCAAGATGCGTTGCTAGCCAGTCACAGCAGCGTGTTGTGCTTTTTCATGCCTTTGTTATACAATCAAAGCTGTCCTGTTCATTCTACATGCTAGCCATATCATACTGACAGCACATTTCATGAATCTGCAGCAACCAAGGTCGGATCCCGCGTGGAAGGCCAACCTGAAGAACTGGGATGAATGCCTTCGAGTGGGGTCTGCCGAGCTCTTGCCTGCCGAAGCGCCGCTATACAAACGACTTGAAACTTTGTCCAGAGATGTGAATGTATATAAGAAGAAAATTTTGGAGCAACCAGACCTCTACGCGAATGATGGCAAAGTGTTGCTGAAGCAGGCTGAGGAAACATTTCATGCAGCCCGAGTGAAGTCAACGGAATCCTTTTTTCTGGAAGCCATCCTGTTTCTGAAACCCGACAAAGCCAAGTCGAAGATTTCGAAGCGGGCAGAACAATTGAAGAACTGCAATGCTGTTCTCCCGCTCATCTGGGAGAAGGCACGGTCAATCTGCCCAGAGTTGCCTTGCCAGTCGTCTTCAGCAGAAAAGCTTAGACCGGCCAGCCTTTTGCATGCATGGAGCGTGACATAAGCCATAGCTTCAAGTTTCACGTGTTCAGGCATGGTTCAGCTGCTCTGCTAAGGCTAGGGCTTGAGTTTTGGATGTGCATTGGGCGAGAACCTATTGATGTAATTACAGGTCCCGTAACCACTTCAATACTTACTAGGTCACTAGGCCCCGATGGATCCAGAGATGACATTGTGCCTCTCCCAAGGCCCAAAGAGCTGTTGACACCCCAAGCATTCCCACCTCTCGGTCCTATCGGGTGCGGGGGGGACAGAGGTACAATCAGGGTCATAAGCTCAGCCGATTGAAACATATACGTTGTGTAGAGGCGCTGCTGGCATGTGTGTGAGATGCTACGGTAAGCGGTATGCCTTGCAAAGAACAAGCTAATGAAATGATGGCTGAATGTACTTGCAGCTTCCCATTTGTTTTCATGGAAGACTTCCAGATTGTACTATGGAGCGAACTTAAATGCAGTGACCTGCAGTAGTATGAACCGTTGAGTCGTTGAGCCCATGTCCTGAACCATCCACCTGTTGCCAAGATATTTCACACCGCAATCCTTGGCACCT